CGCGAGCCCAGGGAGTGAGCCTTTCACTGAGACTCTCTTGCTGGTTTAGGAAGTTTTCTAGGAAGTTTTCTCTCTGTGTGTGTTGTTGTTGTTGTTGACTTGGGGGATTGAAATCTAAAGGCATCAGTCTGCTGTTAGGGGTTTGGGTATATGCATATTCTGGGGAGTGTTGAAGAATGACAAAGCAACTAAGGGGTTCTCGGAGCTTGGGGGCTGTCCCCAAGGGTGGGGTGTCCTCTGCTAGTACTATGTGTGTGCTTTGATTTGCTAGGAGGGATTGGGGGTTGGGGGACTGGGAGATCCAGGACTCCTCGGGGAGGGAGGTGGCATCGGGCTGGGGCTGGTGAGTCCCACCTTCTGTCCTTCTGCTTTCGCCCACTCAGGGCTGGGGGCTGGAATCGCCCTCACAGAGACACTTCTCCGAGGTTGCACAGACCATCTTTAGAGAGTTAACATCAACCACCACGTTCCCCTTTCCAGGCTTGAAAAAAGAGTTGGAGGATTCCCCCACCCCAGCAGTCAGAGCACAGGGAATATTTATGTCTCTCGGGATATCATTACCTAAGAATACAATTTTATGAACTTCCTAATCTGATGGTTTGATTTATCTGGATGGGCAGAGGACCAAAGTAAACATTTTGGGGGTTTAGTCAGAGTGGGGGGGAAGTCTTTGCCTTGGACCAGTCTTTCTGACTCAGCCACTCCCCACCCACTGCCCCCCGGGGGGCTCTTACTGCACCCCCTGCAGACCCCCACTTCCCATTTTCTCCAGTCCCTGTAGCTGCTTCTTTCAGGAAGAGGAGTCGCAGCCCCCTCTTGAGAATTAAACCTAGCAGCGTGTCCCGTTCAAAGGAGTCAGCCTCAGCCGAAGGGGTCCCTCGGCTCCCTGAAAAGGCACCGTTCCAGGAGCTGAGATACCCCCTGGAATTGGGACGCATGGAGGACCTCAAGCCTGTCTCCAGGCTGTGCGCACCGCTCTGGATACCGGCATCCCTGCCTGGAAACTGCCCTTCCCTTCCCAACTCAGGCTCAGTCTCCTCTTGGCCCCGAGTTCCTGGGTGGGCTTTGGAGCTTCCCTGGACCCAGGGTGGACCCGATCCCAGGCCGCACTTCTTGCCTGCCAGCCAGAGAGAGGGCTGATGCAGTTCCACCTTCCTGCTTCCCGGCTCCTGCAGGCCCAGGAGCTGAGAAATCAGAAGGCAGAGGAGACAGAGAGGCAGGTTCGGTCTCCCAGTATGTGTGGGAGTGATTAGGATTCCAGAGCCCAACGAATGGG